CCTGGTTTAGACCTGATTCAATCCTGGTTTACTCCTGGTGTAGTCCTAGTTTAGTCCTGTTTTAGTCCTGGTTTAGACCTGGTTTAGTCCTGGTTTAGACCTGGTTTAGTCTTGGTTCAGTTCAGTTTTAGTCCTGGTTCAGACCTGGTTTAGTCCTGTTTTAGTCCTGTTTTAGTCGTGGTTCAGTCCAGTTTTAGTCCTGGTTTAGACCTGATTTAGTTCTGGTTTAGACCTAGTTTAGTCCTGGTGTAGTCCTGCTTTAGACCTGGTTTAGACCTGTTTCAATCCTGGTTTAGACCTGATTCACTCCTGGTTTACTCCTGGTGTAGTCCTAGTTTAGTCCTGTTTTAGTCCTGGTTTAGACCTGGTTTAGTCCTGGTTTAGACCTGGTTTAATCTTGGTTCAATTCAGTTTTAGTCCTGGTTCAAACCTGGTTTAGTCCTGGTTTAGACCTGGTTTAGTCCTGGTTTAGACCTGGTTTAGTCCTGGTTTAGTCCTGTTTTAGTCCTGGTTTAGTCCTGGTTTAGACCTGGTTTAGTCCTGGTTCAGACCTGGTTTAGACTTGTTTTTATAGCTGTTTTAAGTCCTGTTTTAGTAATGGTTTAGACCTGGTTCAGTCCTGGTTTAGTCCTCCTGGTTAAATCCCCACTACACCACTGATAGTATCTTTTAGCCTTATATTTATTGTGTGTTCCTCTTATTTGCATATATCGGTATCAGCTCACAAAAATCCATATTTGTCTGGCCATATTTTATTTTTTTATCTTATTTTTTTCCACATAACATAATTTTTTTCTTACAGTGTTGTGGTGTGACTAAGCACACATCGTCAAGGTGGTTCGCTGTAGTTGCACCCATGCGATCCATGCATTTATATTATAATTTGATTCATAATTTGACCTTTATTTAACCAGGAAAGTCCCATTGACATTCAGAATCTCATTTACTGAGCAGCCCTGTCCCCAGAGTGGACCCTTTTGTTCACGTTATAGTGACAGGAAAACCAGAGAGAAAAGCTGTGGCCCTGCTTTGTCTGGGCACCTTCTCGTTATTGTGCGGTTTACGACTATGTAAACTATTTCCCTTGTTTTATATGAGATTAGTCCTGGTTTGGTCCTTGTTTAGTCCTTGTTTTGCTCTAGGTTAGTCCTGGTTTAGTCCTGGTTTGGTCCTTGTTTTATACTAGGTTAATCCTGGCTTAGTCCTGGTTTAGTCTTGGTTTAGTCTTTATTTTATACTAGGTTAGTCCTGGTTTAGTTCTGGTTTAGTCCTAGTTTGGTCCTTGTTTTATTCTAGGTTAGTCTTGGTTTAGTCCTTGTTTAGTCTTGATTTGGTCCTTGTTTTATACTAGGTTAGTCCTGGTTTAGTCCTGGTTTTATACAAGATTAGTCCTGGTTTAGTCTTGGTTTGGTCCTTGTTTTATACTAAATTAGTCTTGGTTTAGTCCTGGTTTAGTCCTTGTTTTATACAAGATTAGTCCTGGTTTAGTCCTGGTTGAATCCTGGTTTAGTCCTGGCTTGGTCTTGGATTAGTTTTGGTTTGGTCCTTGTTTTATACTAGGTTAGTCCTGGTTTGGTTCTTGTTTTATTCTAGGTTAGTCCTGGTTTAGTCTTGGTTTAGTCCTGGTTTGGTTCTTGTTTTATTCTAGGTTAGTCCTGGTTTAGTCTTGGTTTAGTCCTGGTTTGGTCCTTGTTTTATACTAGGTTAGTCTTGGTTTAGTCCTGGTTTGGTTCTTGTTTTATTCTAGGTTAGTCCTGGTTTAGTCTTGGTTTAGTCCTGGTTTGGTTCTTGTTTTATTCTAGGTTAGTCCTGGTTTAGTCTTGGTTTAGTCCTGGTTTGGTCCTTGTTTTATACTAGGTTAGTCTTGGTTTAGTCCTGGTTTGGTCCTTGTTTTATACTAGGTTAGTCTTGGTTTAGTCCTGGTTTGGTCTTGTTTTATACTAGGTTAGTCCTGGTTTAGTCTTGGTTTAGTCCTGGTTTGGTCCTTGTTTTATACTAGGTTAGTCTTGGTTTAGTCCTGGTTTGGTCCTTGTTTTATACTAGGTTAGTCTTGGTTTAGTCCTGGTTTGGTTCTTGTTTTATACTAGGTTAGTCCTGGTTTAGTCTTGGTTTAGTCCTGGTTTGGTCCTTGTTTTATACTAGGTTAGTCCTGGTTTAGTCTTGGTTTAGTCCTGGTTTGGTCCTTGTTTTATTCTAGGTTAGTCCTGGTTTAGTCTTGGTTTAGTCCTGGTTTGGTCCTTGTTTTATTCTAGGTTAGTCCTGGTTTAGTCTTGGTTTAGTCCTGGTCTGGTCCTGGTTAACATACAAAAATTATAGCAATAACCATACTGCATCTCCATGACGACAAGCAGAAAGACCACCAGGCCTTTTCACATGGCAGATCTGTGGAAAGGCAAGCCCGCAGTAATATAATAATAATGCATGTTTACTACTGAGCAATAAAAACAATTTGTAATTAAACGTAAGAAGATTTAATGCCATAGTGTGGGATATTTCAAGCAGAGGTCACAGTAGTTACACAGTGCATCTTTAATGAGCGGTTTTATCTTCCTCTAGACAAGTCGTGACATTTGCAGATCAAACAAGTCACGACTGAATCTGCGTGTGCTCAGAATCAGACTCTAGGGGGCAGCGTTTCTTTCATCTTGTCTCCTCTCGTCCGTGATCCCGGCTTCATTCAAATCTTCAGTTCTTTTCGGACATGTAGTTTTAGTTGATCAAAGTACAAGGCCTGAAAGACTGCTCAGTGAAGTTTCAGTCCTGGTTGGGTCTCGTAAGGATATTCTCACACGCGAATATTTCTCTGGTGGTAGTTTGTGAAGAAGTAGACCTACAAGATATGACTGAAATCTTTTTTTTTTTTTTTTGTATCATTGAAAGCCAGTCTTAGTTTTTTATACGTGTAGTTCTGAACTGAGTAAAACCTGGTTGAGAGTTTTAGTTGTTCGTGGGAAACCTCTTTTAGTCCTCTTTAGACACGTTTTAGTCTTGGTTTGTTTCTTCAAAAGACATACTTGTATTTTCTGAGGAGCTATTTTGTAAGAACAGTCTACAAGATTGCTTTTTTATATATGTTATGTTAAAGTCCTTGTAAATTCACATGTTGAGTATATTGTCAATAAGAAGAAACTAATTAAAATATGCAAAAAGAGGAAGTATTTGACGTGCATTTCTGGTACCATATTGATTTAAAAGTGACAGAAGTCAGTAGTTTTGGCCTTTCATGTCTTGCTTGTACTTTCAAAAACAAAACAAAAATCTGCAGGCATATTTCTGTGGATTTCAAAGAAAAAAAAGAAAATCTACTTGTCTGACACTTAAACCTAAACTATTGCATTTAAAGACTTGTTTTTGCAATAAAAAAAAACAAAAACATAAACAAAAACTAAAAGCTGTCTGATTATAGTTATCAAGATAATCCTAAAAAAAATCTCAAGACATTTTGTTTCTATTTTCCTAATAAACCAGGACTAAACCAGGACTAACCTAGTATAAAACAAGGACCAAACCAGGACTAACCTAGAACGAAACAAGGACTAAACCAGGACTAAACCAGGACTAACCTAGTATAAAACAAGGACCAAAACCAGGACTAACCTAGAACGAAACAAGGACTAAACCAGGACTATAAGAAGTTCTTTATGTTAGCCAGGACCAGACTAGGACTAAACAAGGACTAACCTAGAACAAAAAAGGACTAAGCAAGAACTATAAGATGTTCTGTATGTCAACCAGGATTTGACCAGGACCAACCTAGTATAAAACAAGGACTAAAAACCAGGACTAACCTAGTATAAAACAATGTCCAAACCAGGACTAAACCAGGACTAACCTAGTATAAAACCAGGACTAAACCGAGACTAAAACAGTACTGAACCAGGACTATAATGAGCCTCTGTGTATTGTTAGTTATCATTGTTAGTGTTTAGTTTTCAAAATAATCCTAAAAAAGTCTCAGAACATTCTTTTTGTTGTATTGCGTCTCTTGTCTCTATCTCAGTCCGCACTCCTGCAGCTCATCTAATCCAGAGTTCTTCTTGTGTAATCTCGATCAGTTGGCCTGTTTTCCTAATCCCGTCACTTCCCAATCCCTCGCACTCCAATCCGTGTGGTATGTAACATCAGACGCCCAAAGGTGCCTCATTTGTTTACACTAGACGAGACTTAACGCTCAAAGACGGAGAGAGCACCTGTCACCTGCTCACCCCCACCTGTCACTCACTGCAAAACTAAACTAAACCACAACTGTGCAAATTAGCTTCAATTTTATTAGATTTGAATTTTTTTAATTTATTTTCTTGATAGCAGTTATGCATTGTTTTATTTGTATTTTCACTAGTTACAATCTTTTTTATAGTTATTTATTTTTTATTATTATTTTGTATATTTTTTTGTATTTATTTATATTTTTTTAATTATTTTTTTATTTGTCATTTAATCAACATTTTTCAGACCCAAAACCCCATTTTTTACTTAAGCAATTTGTCCAATGTTAAGAATAAATCAGAAATAGAAATATTTTTTATTATATTTAATTTAATTTTATTATATTATTTTTATTTTATTATTTTTATTATTTTTTATATTAATTGTTGTAGATCTGAAAGTGTTTATCTCGTACCCAGATAGATTTTAAAAATTATGTACCAAATCTTTAAATTAAAACACTCCAAATTTGTCAAACCTATTATTTATTTGTATATATATTTTTAATCTTATTTAAAGGTTTATAAAGATTTATTTTTTGCACCTCTAAAAGTGAAATACTTTCATACTTGATGGGATGAAAGCTGTGTTTGGATTATCCCTTATCATGTTTATGTTCTAAAATAAGACACACTTAAGCGTAGTAAACAATATAGCTTGATACTGACTTTTTTCTGTTGTTTTTTTCCTCTCTTTTTGGTGTTTTTTCCCTCCAAACAACCACACTTTGTCTCTGGTTTTGTTCACACCTTGTTGAAGACCTTATGTTGAGCTCCTGTTTGTTTTCTCCACAGATGAACAGGCCGATCCAGGTGAAGCCGGCGGACAGCGAGGGCAGAGGAGGTGAGACACTTGTCCTGTTCAATCCACACCTCCCAGTCTCTCCCATAATTACACCAGCCCATAGTGAGCACTGCCCCCTGCTGGACAAGTGTGGGAGCTCTGCCAGTTCACAAAACAACGACTGGACTTGAGTACGGTCTGGTTTAGAGCACTGGACTTGACTATAGATGCTCTCGATTTGACTCATTTATGTAAATATTAGTACTTTTAGTCTATTAAAAAGACGTTTATATTATTTTTATTTCATTTTTGTCAGCATAAATATGACATTGGGGCTTAATATGGACTATATGAACCAGGACTAAACCAGATCAAGAAGCACTGTCCAGTGTATGTGAAACCAAAGTAAAAAAGGACCAAACTGCAACTAATCCTGGACTCACCTAGGACTAAACTAGGGCTTAAGACTGACACTATAATATGCACCATAACTAAACCGGGTCTAATCTAAACTGTCCAGGACTAATAGTGGACTAAACTACTGCTCAAGAATAAAAAACAAAGCTAATCCAAGGTCTAACCAAGACTAAATCATGACTGATACACAGAAAGACTAAACCAGTACTAAACTAAATTCAAGAAGGACTGTAATTGTGAAACAGGGCTAAACCTGGTCTAACTGAATAAAACCAGGACTAACCAAGAACAAAACAAGGACTAAACCAGGACTATAAGAAGTTCTGTATGTCAACCAGGAACAAACCAAGACTAAACCAGGACCGAACCAGGACTAAACCAGGAACAAACCAAGACCAAACCAGGATTTAACCAGGACTAACCTAGCACAAAATAAGGACCAAACCAGGACTATAAGAAGTTCTGTATAGCAACCAGGACCAAACTAGGACTAAACCAGGACCAAACCAGGACTAAACCAGAACTAAACCAGGACTAACCTAGAACAAAACAAGGACTAAACCAGGACTATAAGAAGTTCTGTGTGTCAGCTAAGACCAAGCCAAGACTAAACTAGAACTAAACCAGGACTATAAGTTGTTCTGTGTGTCAACCAGGACCAAACCAGGACTAAACCAGAACTAAACCAGGACTAACCTAGAACAAAACATGGACTAAACTAGGACTATAAGAAGTTCTGTGTGTCAACCAGAACCAAACCAGGACTAAACCAGGACTAACCTAGAACAAAACAAGGACTAAAGCAGGACTATTAGAAGCTCTGTATGTTAACCAGGACCAAACCATGACTAAACCCAGACTAAACCAGAACTAACCTAGAACAAAACAAGGACTAAACCAGGACTGTGAGAAGTTCTATATGGCAACCAGGACCAAATTAGGAATAAAACAGGACTAAACCTGGACCAAACCAGGTCTAAACCAGGACTAAACCAGGACTAGCCTAAAACAAAACAAAGACTAAACCAGGACAATAAGAAGTTCTGTATGACAACACAGAATAAACCAGGACAAACCTAGCACAAAACCAGGCTTGAACCAGGACTATAATGGGCCTGTGTGTATCATAAATTCTGTGTAGTGCCCTGCATCCGGGGCTAATTGAATTTGGGCCTCTCCTCTTGTGCTCTTCTCAGAGGACAGAAAACTGTTCGTGGGCATGTTGGGAAAACAGCAGAGCGATGAAGACGTCAGACGGCTCTTTGAACCTTTCGGGAGCATAGACGAGTGCACTGTGCTCCGAGGACCAGACGGCACCAGCAAAGGTACAACAATACAACAATACAACTTCCTAATAATGTTACTTATTACCAGGCTATAAAAAGATGACCAGGGACGTTTTAAAAATCATGGTTCCAAGACCTGTGTTGCTTTAATAAATCCACAATTTTATGACACTGTACATTAAAAACAATTTCATAATTCATCTATAGAAGTCTAAGCTCTTTCATTGACGTAATTTTTCCAGTGGAGGGTGCGCCACCTGCTTGTCTCCATGGAAATGTTATTGCTTTGCCTGGAATGCTGATTTAATGACCTACTATGGAACATTCCAGGCAAAGCAATAACTTCATAGAGACAAGCAGGGGGGATCTCATTCTAGAAACGTTACATAGTAGTTTCTAGGGGTGTAACGATATCCAAGTCTCACGATATGATATTTATTACGATATTTTGTGGAGGAGAGCAAAACTGTTCCTCTTAAAATGACTTGACAAGATTTAATCGAAAGAACTAAGACTTAAAAGTGCTTAGAACTGTTATTTTTTCTTGTAATCTGCCCTGAAATGGAGCAAAGGATCATGGTCTATGTAAAGTATTTCTCTGTCTTTTTTTTTAGCTATTGCTGCACCATAACTCTTAATTTAAGCAAAGAGATTTGTAATTCGATATATTGTGATGATCCACGATATTATTGTGAGAACTTTAACAATACGATATCAAGACATTTCGGTTATTGTTACATCCCTAGTAGGGGTGTCACGATATCCAAATCTCTCAGTACGATATTTTAACGATATGCAACTCATGGTACGGTATTTATTGCGATATTTTGTAGAAGCTGATATAACTGTAGATAGGACACTTTTTGTGCTTTTAAAATACCATCACATCACACTATATGAAATTACAAGTCTTTGTTTAAATTAAGAGTTATGGCGCTGCAATAGCTAAAAAAGAGAGAACTACATAGACCATGATCCTTTGCTCCATTTCAGTGTAGAATACAAGAAGAAATTACAGTTCTAAGCACTTTTTCCTTTAAAATGCCTTGACAAGATTAATCCAAAGAACGAAGACTTAAAAGTAGCATATTAACAGTTTTGTTATCCTCCACAAATTATCACAATAAATATCGTACTGTGAAAATATCGTACAGAGAGATTTGGATTTTTTAACATCCCTAATCATGAGCCTCCTCACCATATCATGAGCTTTTCCACAATATCGCAATAAATATCGTACCGTGAGGTTCATACTGTGACGATATCGTATCTTGAGACTTGGATATCATTACACCCCTAATTGCTACTATAAAACAATACATTTAAGCAAAGGAACTTGTAATTCGATATATTGTGACACCCCACGATATTACTGTGAGACTTTTGATATCACGATATTTCTGTTATTGTTACATAACTATTACATATTGTACCTTTAAATAAAACGATGTTGTTTTTTTCTTGCAGGATGTGCGTTTGTAAAGTTCCAGTCTCACGCTGAGGCCCAAGCAGCCATCAACAGTCTCCACGGCAGCCGCACGATGCCAGTGAGTCCTCCACACTAAGACCATTTCCATAGCGATTAACAATTTAAAACATGATTTCTTTGAACGGGAAGAAATCGGGCAGCAAACTAAATAAACGCACAATTTGATCTCACTAATCCAAAACAATAAAAACAGTAAACGTAAACAAAAGGAAACACCATAAAATAGTCATAAATTATTAAAATTATGAAAAGAAATAGAGCTGTTGCCATAGCGATTAACAAATGAAAACAGAAAACATAATACATGCTCAGTTTCATTTTACCGTACTAATCCAAAACAATAAAACCAGTAAACGTAAACAAAAGGAAACACCATAAAATAGCCATAAATTATTAAAATTATGAAAAAAAAGAGCTGTTGCCATAGCGATTAACAAATGAAAACAGAAAACATAATACATGCTCAGTTTCATTTTGCCGTACTAATCCAAAACAATAAAACCAGTAAACGTAAACAAAAGGAAAGACCGTAAAATAGCCATAAATTATTAAAATGATTTTTTAAAAAAAGAGAGCTGTTGCCATAGCGATTAACAAATGAAAACAGAAAACTAAATACATACTCAATTTGATCCTACTAATTCAAAACAATAAAACCAGTAAACAAACAAACACAAGACCATAAAATAGCAATAAATTATGTTGCCATAGCGATTAACAAATGAAAACAAAATATTATACCCTTTGAATGGGAAGAAGTCCTCAAAATGTCTCCCATAACACGAAGCTGAACCCCATGAATAGAACATGATGGTTTTACTGCTGTACAAGACTGGAGGCTCATATGGATGTGTAAGTAATAATGTTCCAAACCTACACCGGGCCCGTCTCGTGTCCCCTGTGTCCCATTAAAGGATTAAATGGACAGAGAAAAGTCATGAATGAATAAACAGGGAGCACTGGTCCCGTTAACACACAGAGATGGCACCTATCATCACTGCTAATGGCACTTTAAACCTCTGCTACTCTCTGAGACTGCTGCGCTCATCCAACGCCGTTCACAAGCGCTCTTAACCGTATAACTACACCTGTACGCTGATTTTATTTGAAGTGTGTGGTCTTATGTCTTTTTAGTTTAGTGTTCTTGAGTAAGAAATGTGTGCCTTACACTGCAAAAGGCAAAATCTAGTCAAGTTAAAATGACTTGAATTAAGAAAGTTTGATCATGATTTGAGTCAGTTTCACTTGACAAGTAAAATTATCTGCCAGTGGAACAAGACTTTTTGTACTTAAAATATGAAAATACATCTTGCTAGACTTAAAATCAGAAAAACAACAACTTTTTGCACTTAAAATAAACAAAATAGAATGTTGCTTGAATTAAGAAAAACACTTATTCCATTGATAGATCATTTTACTTGCCAAGTTGTACTCAAATAAAGTAAAATGTTCTTAATTTAAGTCATTTTAACTTACCTAGATATAGTTTTTTTCCAGTGTAGTTAATTGAAGTGACATTCAGAGATTTTTTTGTTAGTTTGTTTTGACTAGTTTAACAAGTTTTAGCAATAAGAAGTAAGTCTATTTTACCCAAGAAAACTTTCTGCAAAACAGTCATAGGACAGCTGTTCTAATTCAGTCACTACTGATTGGCGCTATGACTTTATTTTTCTTACATATTGATTGATACATTTTTATATAATTTTACCTTATTATATCAAATAAAAATGGCTGCACAACATAATGCAATTGAATCAAAAATCCAATTCAATTTGGTACAATTATTTAGACAATAGAGTCCTCCTTTTTAAACATCACAACACTAATTTCAGTCCTAATACTTGTAAAAAATGCACCACCACTACCCACAGCCTCAGTATATCTTTGACCATTTTAAATATTTATTGGTTTGCCCGTATACTGCCAGTAAATTTACGATTTCTTTCTCCCTCGTGTGTTTACAGGGGGCGTCGTCGAGCCTGGTGGTGAAGTTCGCAGACACAGAGAAGGAGAGAGGGCTCCGGAGGATGCAGCAGGTGGCCTCTCAGCTCGGCATCTTCAGCCCCATGACGCTCAACTTCCCCGCTTACAACGCCTACACACAGGCCGTCAACGCACAGGCAAGAGTCCTCACACACACACAACATACACACAACATACACACAGGCCGTCAACACACAGGCAAGAGACCTCACATACACAACATACAACGCCTACACACAAGCCGTCAACGCACAGGCAAGAGTCCTCACACACACACAACATACACACAACATACACACAGGCCGTCAACACACAGGCAAGAGTCCCTCTGTACACACAACATACACACAACATACACACAGAGGCGGCGCTACCATTAGGCAAAAGTAAGCGGCTGCCTAAGGGCCCCCAAACCTGGAGGGGCCCTCAACCAAATGCTACTAAAGGCCTCAGAGCTATTTCATTTTCTCTCAATATGACATTAAATGAGAGTAGTTTACTTTTAAACAATAATCATAAGAAAAATAAGAATAATCATAATGGATGTAAACAAAAATGTAATTGTACTAGCAAAAAAATAAAAGTAGTAGGCGACCGAACTAATAAGACAAGTTTACAATCCAACATAAGTCAAATAATTAGAGATGCATGCAGAGGTGCATGTCTCAAGAACAATGTGGAAAAACAGACAATAAATATATTAAAAACAAAAACAAAACAGAAAAATGGTGCATTATCGTGAGGGCCCCAAACTCAAGTTCACCTAGGGCCCCCAAATTGCCAACTCCGCCACTGCATATACACAGCCTACACACAGACCATTCAACACACAGGCAGGTGAGCTGTAAATACATTGCAATCAAATATAAATCACAGTTTGAATGGTTGCGATTAGTACCAAAAGTATCGAAAACTGATACCAATACCAGTATCGTAACTAGACAGTCATTTAAGCAAGTATCGATATCAAAAATGGCAAGGCAAGGCAAGTTTATTTTTACAGCAGAGTTTGTACACAAGTAATTCAAAGTGCTTTACAGAATAAGAAATACATTAAATTCACAATACAAACAAATTAAAACATAAATAATTATCATAAAATTAAAGAAATAGAGACATTAAATGAGAGAGAACCTTTCCTGAAGAACTTTAGAATTATCTTGAGCTGTATCAAAACAAATTTAAGACCACAGGGATTACACAGATACATGGGAATATAAAAGAAAAAAAAATACAACTTAATATTGAAAATTACATTCTATTCTACTGTCATTAGCTATGATTTTGATGGTTACATTATCTTCTACTTAAATGATCCCAGATCCAATCAGAAATGTCACGAAAACAATCTATATATAAGTCATAAATAATTTAAACTAACTATGTCAATACCCAAACTCGTTTTGTCTTATTGTAGGTCCGTCAGTGTCAATGGAGGCGTTTAAAATAAGTACGACTTTAAAATAAGCTTTAATAGATATTTTTGTCCAACAGTTCAACCCACTTACCGATAAACAAAACAACACAAAGCATCACGAAACCATCAACACAGTGCGTAAGGGGAGCGCTGTGCCTGTGAAAGGATGTAATAAGTTTGAAGAGGCTATCAGGGCTCTAATTGTGGCTAATGTTATTACCCAGACAACAGAACATACGTCATCTGGCATTAGCTTTCCCGCTACACACCGACATTAACCCACTGACTAGGGACATAATGGGCCTGTAATTAGATCTCTATTCATCTATCCCTCCATCATCCCCTCTGCCTGTCCCCTCCTCTACCATTGCCTCTTTGTCTCGCACCGTTTTCCCTGTTCACTTAGCAGACTCTTTTTGCTTTCACTGCAAAAAAGTCATATCGTATTAAATGTATTTACGAACTTATTTGAGCAAAATTATTTAAGACAGGGGAGTTTTTTTGTTGGTGAGCACAAAGTAAGTAATTGCAACTGAGCGTATTTTATCACATTTCATAATATTTAGCTTGAAATGAGAAAAATAAATAAGATTAGACCATGTATATCAACTCAAATTCACAGAGGGACAAAATTAAAAACCGGGACTAAGTCGTGGGTCAAGCTAAATATTTACTGAAAAATTTCTACAACATCTGCATGTTTTCTCTTCTCTTCTTATTAAAATAAATGTTTAATAATAGTTACATTGAATCCAGAACAAGCATAATAAAAAAATAACAACAAAATTTTAAATAAATAATGTCTCTGTAGCGCGTGGGTTAGCTCTAATACAAATTTGATATGATCTTGCGGGCCAAATATAATTATATCGCGGACCAAATTTGGTCCCCGGGCCTGAGTTTGACATGTCTGATGTATATTATCAGCCTTTGCACACACTTTAATCTCAATTTAACCTGGACCACAAGCTTTTGGGTTTATTACAAACTTTTAGGTGTAGGAACTGGCAACCCAAAGTTACGGACGTATTCTGCTTTCTGATTGGATAATTGGATTTAGAACCACATCTCAAAACATAAACAAGTTTTACATCATTTAAGAAGTTTTAGGATTTTATTAAGGTAGCACAATATTTGATGTGTAAACATATTTAGTCCATATCTGAAGACACAGATTGAGAATGTATTTGGAATATTTGAGAAGAATTCATACTGGAAATAATAAAATTTTCTCAGCCAGTTAAATCTTCTCAAACAACTTCAATATTCTGAATTCAAGTCGTTTTAGCTCCTGCGATATTCCTTTTTTGCAGTGTTCGTCCTGGTCATTTAGGATAGCTCTTTATTGTCATTGCAGAATCAATTACAGCAGTCATTTGCGTTAACCTTTCCTCTGCCTCTTCTGTCTACAGCTTGTCCAACAGCAGGCCCTGGTTGCCCAGTCAGCGTACTTGTCTCCGGTGGCAACAGTTGCCGCGGTACAGATGCAGCAGATGGCGGCTCTCAACGCCAACGGGATCATCGCCGCGCCCATCACACCCATCACACCGTCGTCGGGTAAAACATGTTGTGCTCTCGCTCCTGCCAGAAACTCACTCACCACAAAATCACTGTTTAGTTCATTGTGTTTGGAAGAGGGCTGCGCGTTCTGTAATCAAATCAGAATTATAATTTGAGTTGGCTCCATTATCAAATCACAAAGGATGTACAATTATTTCGATAATAGAATGCAAAGTATCTTGTTATCTTGTACCTGCAGTTTAGAACTCTACAAACACTTTCTGAAATGCTTGGGATTGTTGCATTAGTTTATCAGTTCATGTTTCCGTCTTCTCTCAAATGTTAATGCTCCTGAAGTTGTTTACAATCTGCACTCAGAACAGTCCCACTTTTATACTTGATATATCAAATCTAATCACAATACCTGTGCAACCCTATTTTGTATTCGTATAGACTGACATTTTTCAACATTTTATTATAATGTTGCCTCATCAAATCGAAATCTGAGTTGTGTTTTGTTTAGTTCACAAAAGTTTCAGTAATTCTTGTGTAGCAGTTATAAGTATAAGTAGCAGTTATATTTTTTGCATTATGTAAACTGCTTAACTACAGTGTTTGCTGTGTAAAGATATCCAAGTCTCACGATATGATATCATCACGGTATGAACCTCACGGTACGATATTTATTGCGATATCGTGGGAAAACTCACGATATGGTGGGGAGGCTCACGATTAGGGATGTAACAATATCCAAATCTCTCAGTATGATATTTTCACAATATACATTTCACGGTACGATATTTATTGCGATATTTTGTGGAGGCTGCGAACAAAACTGTTAATATGTTACTTTTTCCTCTTAAAATGCCTTGACAAGACTTAATCCAAAGAACAAAGACTTAAAAGTGCTTAAAACTGTTATTTCTTCACTGAAATGGTGCAAAGGATTATGGTCTATGTAGTTCCCTCTGTTTTTTTTTTTTTTTTTTTTTTTTTTTTAGCTATTGTTGGACCATAACTCTTAATTTAAGCAAAGTTTGTAACATCCCTTGAGACTTGTAACATCTCTAGTGTTTGCACCACCTGGCTCTCACCAGATTGATCTATGTGTGTCTCTGAAATGTGTTCTACACATGATCAATCTGGGACGGCTCTCACTGAAAGCGATCGGAAAACACAGAACATCATGATGATTACTTGAATCTGACTGATGGAAGCTTCACAACAGCGGAATAAGACAAAAAAAAATCAAACTTTGGTTAAATTCAGTTGAGAGAAAAGTGCAGTTCACAAATGGACAAAACATAACAGTTCACAGTGGCAGCCATTTAGTTTTCTGATGACATATTCAGGACTGTTATTGTACATTTTAGGTTTTCCTTACATGATCACTAAATTAATTTCTAAAACAGTCTCAGGTTGTTTTCCAGGTACAAACACTCCTCCGACAATCGCGGCTACACCTGTGCCAGCGCTGCCTCCACCAATAGGAGTCAATGGATACAGCAGTGTCCCCGCCCCCACCAATGGACAACAAGCTACCGAGACACTGTACACCAACGGGGTTCATCCATATCAAGGTAAATGTACTGACTGACCACTGATTTTAAACACGAGGAAGAAACTAGGACACAACACAACTGCAGAATATATTGCAGAATGTATATCAAAATCACCCTTTGAGTTGGTGTAATTATAAAACAGCAAAAGTACCATAAACTGTCCTCTGAAAAGACCAAAGTATCTTCTCTTTTTATGGAAAAAATCTTAAGACCTACACAGACATATTCTGAAATGTATGGGATTCTTGTGTTAGTATCTGTTCATATTTAGGTTAGAATCCTACTTTTTAAACGTATATCACAAATCTAATCTTAATATTTACTCTAATCGTAATATTTAAGGCATAATACTCTAAGGGTTATTCTATAATCTTACATTCTTTGCATTTTTTTCCACAGCCCAAAGCCCAGCTGCCTTGGACCCCCTACAGCAGGCTTATGCAGGGATGCAACATTACACAGGTTAGTATCATAAAAATACAGAAGGCTAAGTCCTGGGGATGTTACTATACAAATAGAAGAGTGTTGCAAAAGCTTACATAAGCTTACATAGCCATTGAGTTTCAGCTACAATATAAACAAATGAAAAACTTCAAAGCAAGAAGCCAGCGTAACTTTTCCAATATTTACTCTCGGTTTTAAAAGCAGTGATCTTTACAACATTTTAAATGCAACACAATTGAAATCTTATTATTATCAAGTTTTATTTTATTTTATTTATTGCATATATACATACAAATTATTATAAACATTCATACAAGAAAATAGATAAACAATATACACAAAGATTACAGGACATGGAGTAGTTAAATGATTCAGATTGATCATTTCAGTTCTTTATAAATTGATAACATATTTTAGATTACATTTGAATTGAAAGATATTAGGATTGGCATTATTCCACTTACAACAATGAATAAAATATCGTAAATTATTATCATGAATTATGCATAAAATGTCCTCATCAGTGACATCCGTGTCCATTATTTCAATCGTATTCTCTCATAACACTTATGAGCTAGTGTAGACTTTGGTTTGGTCTTGTTTGAGTCCTTCTTTAGTCCTGGTTTAGTTCCAGTTTGACTTGGTTTTGGTCCAGTCCTAGTCCTGGTTTAGTCCAGGTTTAATAATGAATTTAGTCCCAGTTTAGATCCATTTTAGATCTGGTAAAAGTGCAAGTTTACACACACACGCATCACATCAAAATTGGACTACTAAGCCGAGACAAAACCAGAACTAAACCTGGACTAACCCATGACTACACCAGGAGCTTAACTGGGACACATGTGCATTACTCTTGCTCCTTCTTTAGTCCTACTTTTACTGTGTGTGTGTAAGTATGAACACACCCTGTAGTACGAAATAAAAAGAGAGACCAAAAAAAGAAAAAAATCCGTCTAGACATAAAAGCAGCATTATAATGATCCTAGACAACACAGATGTAGTAATTTGGCTGGATTTATATCAAATGTGACTTTTCTTTACAGAGCGATCATGTCCTCTGATTGAATTCCCCCATCTGTACCTCTCATCAATTCTTTTAATACCCAAATGTCTGAGCCCTCCACTGTTATTGTTTGACTTGCTCCACTGAACCCACTGTTACGTTTAATTGTTTTCACCTTCATGTTTTTTGGTTGAAACCTGAGCGCGCCATTGGTCAGTGCCATGTTGCCACCTGTTGTTTTGGACCAATCAGATGATGTTACTGTCCTGTCTCCCCCAATAGCGGCGTACCCGGCTGCGTACGGATTGGTCGGGCAGCCGTTCCCCCAGCAACCCACATTGGTTACCCAGCAACACCAGCAGCCCCAGCAACAGCAGCAGAGAGAAGGTGAGGAGACTTCCTGTGTGTTATCGGGACACGCCCCCCCTCCTGCACTCTAAAAAAAGAAAACTATACTCTATACTATGAGTGGAAATGGCGAAATTGCATTGAATTCTGAATTATTAATGTTTTGTATAGTTAGGCTATGTTTTCATATGTTTTCACTTTGGGAATTGCTTCTCGGTAACAGAAACTGCACTTTAATGTAATAACTTGTAATACAACATGTGCTCGTATTGGTTTTAAAACAGTAATGCAATGACCACTGAACTCGGGATGCCTTTAGCTGTCACAATCCGGGACACATTATATCACAGAGTGTCCTTTTTGTCCTTTTAGTTTATTGCAAAGTTAATTTCATTTGAGCTGGTTGAGCTGCAGAGTTCTATACATTCACTTTGTACCGTTTGACCTTTTAGTCCTGAAAAGAAGTACGAACAATTGTAAACGTAAAACATAAACTGATTTTTATTGTAGGAACAAAAACTGAGTAGTCCCACATGCTTTCTGATTGAAAAATGGACTTTAAACCAGAACACTAAATATAAACAAAGTAATTTTTATGTCAAATATTTTGGTTAATATTATTTACTTGAGGAAACAGATGACTATAAAATCAACAAAACTACATATATTTATTCTTATACTAAAATAAAACAATAATAATAATACTAAAAGATGCTCGGGCAGATAATTTAGCACTGAAAATGAGAGAAAGAAATGAAAACAAACAGATAAAAGTCCATGTACCTTTTAAAATGACTATTCTTAATTTGTCAGCACATAATATTCTGAGTTTAAGTTATGTTCTAGTTTTGGAAAGTAGAAATAAAACCATCATGTGTCTTTATATCCAGTGAAGCTTCAGTTTTTGTTTTTGATTTATTCAATTTATTTTATTGTCAAAACGAATCTACGAAAGTCTAGTTAGTCGCTTTGGGAAATAGAAGTAAAGCTATGATGTGTCTTCATATCTAGTGAAGCTTCAGTTTTCAAGTTTTTTTTATTTATTCAATTTATTTTATTGTCAAAACCAATCTTCTAAACTCTAGTCAGTGGCTTTGGGAGGAGAAATGAAGCCACGTGGAATTTGCTTTTTTATTATTTTTGCAGTGAAGAGTCTTATTCATTTCTTTTTTCATTTTTTGTCAGCTGTTTCTGAAGGCACGTTTGATTTATGCGTCTGTGGTTAACGCTGTGTCTGTGTGTGTGTGTCTGTGTGTGTGTGTGCGTGCGTTTCAGGTCCGGAGGGCTGTAACATCTTCATTTACCACCTGCCCCAGGAGTTCAGCGACTCCGAGATGCTCCAAATGTTCCTCCCTTTCGGCAATGTCATCTCCGCCAAAGTGTTTGTGGACCGCGCCACAAATCAGAGCAAATGCTTCGGTGAGACACAATCAGAAACAGACGGGTAAAAAGAGAGAAAGAGAGAGAGAGAGGAAGAGGGGAAGAGGGAGAGGAGAGGGGGAAGGACAGGTGTGTCAGACGGAGGAGAGGACGAATGGAGGAGAGAGGGAGGGAGAGAAGCAGGGAAGGAGGAGGGGGCGTTTAAAGGACAAAAAATACTGTCACCTTTATTTGCATACTACGACAGACAGCTTTGTTTTTGTTTCCCCGCGGAGGTTGCGCTGGGCTTAATGGCGTGTATCCAGGGAGGTCAAAATTAATAGATTAATTGATGGTTGTAACATGCACTGCAAAAGTCATCTTCAATAATGTTAAAACGACTGGAATTTATTATAGCAATCTTGATGTTAGTATGTTATTATTATTAGGACCTTGATACGCAAAGTGCTTTCTGACATTTCTAACGTTTTCCAAGATAATTTAGCTTGAAATAAAAATAATAATTGGCAAATTTGTTAAGTGCTTTCAGTTCAGCTTGTGATGAAAAGCAATGTTTTAAAGCAAGTGAAATTATAAAGGTTGAATTAATAGGTAAATGCATCTGAATTACAAAATATAGTCTAGTTAAGATGACTGAATTAAGAAAGTTTTATCATGATTTGTGTAAATTTCCCTTCACAAGTACAATTATCTACCACTGGAACTAGACTTTTTGTACTTAAAATATGAAAATGCATCTTGCTACACTTAAAATAAGAAAAACAACAACTTTTTACACTTAAAATAAGAAATAAATGTTGCTTGAATTAAGAAAAACACACTTTAACTTTACTTGTCAAGTTGAATCTACTCGAACAAAGTAAAATGTTCTTAACTGAAGTCATTTTAATTTAACTAGATATTGTTTTTACCAGTGTAAATCTACAGAGATCATAATAAAAATATGAATTACAGTCATTTTAACTGTAAATGTCACAGTATAGCCTAAAATTAAGAGTTATTGAAGGATAAGTTTTATAATTTTATAATTTTAGAAGCAAAAATCTATGTGACTGACTTCAAATAAGTAAACGTACATGTAAACTTTATTATTAAATTTTTTTTACCAACATTTTTATATTTATTCAAATTGATTTAATATGCTTGTATAGGCTATAATAATTAGAATTTTGCTCAGTTAGTGAATATTATAATTTCATCGTGTGGTGCTTATTGTTACAGTAAGAGCATTTTACACAGAAGCACCATGATTACTGTTTGGACTCATTATAAGGTTAAGATACACTCTATTATCCACATTACTTATTACAAATGTGTTCAATATTTTTCAGGATTTGTAAGTTTTGACAACCCTGCCAGTGCTCAGGCTGCCATCCAGGCCATGAACGGTTTTCAGATCGGGATGAAGAGACTCAAAGTGCAGCTGAAAAGGCCTAAAGACGCCAACCGCCCATATTAAGTCACACCTGTGGATACATAAGAGACATGATTTGAGGTACGGGGATAAGAAATCAACTTCATTTCAGTTTTATGATGGAACTGAAAAGCAATAATTGAGAATATGGACCCGCCGCAACTGAGGAAATCCCAAAATTCTGATTACGCAGAAAGGTTAATATTCGTCTGCACTGCAAAAAAGAATATATAGATGAGTTAAAATGACTTAGGATGATCTTAATTTCAGTAGTTTTGACTAGTTTAGATTTCTTATTATTGTTTTTATGTTCATCAACCCATTTCTGACTGGTTTAAATATGGTTATAATTGTTTCATCTATAAGGGTACAGGATAAGATAAGTGCTCTTATACTGAAAAACCAACCAAATAACTAAAAATAGCTTGAATTATGACTTTATTTGAGTAGATTTTGCCTGGTCACCATTCTCACCATTCTTTAAGTGGAGTATGAAAATTATAAGTTATTTCTAGACCAGGTATGTCCAAACTATGGCCTGTGGGCTAAATGCAGCCCTGAGACAAATTTTTCTTGGCCCTCAGGCAATGAAAAATTAACTTTCTACTGCAAGTTTTTTTTTGAAAATCTATCTTGATAAAGCTAATATTTAATGTTTAGTGTGTGGTTTTAAGGATCTTAGCATGAATAAAGACTGACGGCTCATTCTAACGTGTTAAACATGCACAAATTTTTATTATTTACTGTATTGAGCACCAGTCTGTGGCCCTCGATCAGCCCTCTGCTCCGTCTGTGTTTAGAAATGTGGGCCTTGATGAAAAAAGTTTGGACACCCCTGTTCTAGACCCATCACAACTGTATTACTGATACTACTTAAATCAAGCCAATTTTTAAAAAGTTGCAGTATAATTTTATTTTTACATTTTAGAAATGAGATGGTGTAATCCCTCATAGAAATGTCCTGAAGCATTAGTAATCTAGTAATCTATCTATAATATTATATTGCCGATGAAATGTCATTTAGTCAAAGCTACTCAAATTAAGATACATTTTAAAGTCATATTAACACAGTCTAGACATTTATTTTTGCAGTGTAGTTATAACAGCCTTACCGCCTGTAGTCATGAAAGGATTTTGAGTTGAATCTATCAAACTTATTTATTTCTTTCCTGCTGTTTTCATCTTTTTCTGACACCCAAGACCCTCCTGTCCAATCATATTTCATGAGGACCCTGGCTATGATAAGCTCTGACCCCTTCCTCTCACGGTGTTGTAAGTTGATTGGTTGGCCTGTGTTTTTGGGTTGCCGTGACGATTGATTGCCTGTGTTGGTTGCCCTTGGTCACCTCAGCAACCCGCCATGTTGACCTGCATGTCCTGTTGCCGTAGTGACCACGACTGTGTTTGGTGCATTGTGACTTTCTTTTGTATTGACCTGTGCACACACTGATCAATAACTGTCTACAGCCGGGATTTTTATCTGATTCAAATGATTTTTAAATATTTAATTTTCTTAATCCATGCATCGTAAATGATAAATTTTGAAGTAATTTTCCGAGTTTTTCTGCAGTTTTGTTTTTGATCAGTCCTTTGTAGTGTTCTGTTTGGTGTCATTATGATTTGAAGCGTTTTGGGTACAGTAGTGGACATTGTGTGTGTGTTGTACACTGTAGTGTGTAAAACCAGCGCTGCTATATTCCTGTTGTTTTGGTGTTTGTGTGGACTGGCTCAGCGGTCTAATGATGAGAAACAGGACCACTACAGACCTACAGAAAACTATGAAACTAGATTATATAAGCTCACAGCATCTTCAAACTGTTAAATAAAAGCGAGAAATCTGAAGCACGAAGAATATCAGAGAACTGTAGTTAATAGGCTAATAATAGATGCAGGCTTAAAGGGCCTTTATTATGCATAACTCTACTTATTCACACTGCTTTGCTATTTGCAGACTGGACTCCCTAAACGTTTGTCATTTTGTTATAGGGCAGGGCTCATTATGTAATTCTGAAATGCCTAAAAGAGGGCAGAGTGGCATCTTCTATTCAAATGAAACTGTAACAAAATATAAACAGTGAATGCAATGCAACAGAGTAAATATGTTATGTTATTAGGTTCTTGTTTCAGACCAAGAGTTTGTTTCGACTGCTCACCTGCGATCTTCCTCAGAGTCACGTAATGTTGCTGTGACGTGACGATAAACCGGGACAAGGGGGCTTTTTTACTCTCACACACCTGGTTGTGAGGAAGTCGGACTGCAGATGGCGCTGTCGTCCTGCCTCCACTGGTAGGAAGACAGCGCCAAAATTTGTATAAATCAGCTGACCAACACGTCACAGCAACATCACATGATCACTCTAGTGAGCAGTCGAAACTGTCAGGTATGACAACAAACTCTTGGTCTGAAAAAAGAACCTAATAACATAAAATATGGAAGACCAAATGAACCTTATTGGACTACAACATAGTAAACTTACTAAAAGGGAGATAATTTAATGAAGACGGACAATACAGACACTAAGATGTTTCATGGATTGGGGCGTTGTGATGTAAAGCAGCCACAAGGAGGTGTTTTAAGATCTGGGAAGAGACAAAACAGAGTAAAAACGCATGATTAGTGAAAAAAAACAGCTCCAGGTATGTTCTGGTGTGGGTACATTAAAAACACAACACTGTACATACTATAGGCCCTTTAAACATGATGCATTTTGTGTAACCCAATAGCGTATAGTACTGAGCTGCACGTTGACAGGCAGATGTAGGTGGCTTATACTCTTTTGAGTTGCAATATTTCCCTTATTTCTTTCTTTTATTGTCACTTGTGTGTGACAATGCCTTCTTCACCATAAGCTCCACTTCGTATACTTAGTCGTACATGCTTCGGTCTCTCTCTCTGCTGCCCTTATGTTGTTCCACTTATCCAGGCTAAATTAATTGCCTTTCTCCATCCTGACCTCCCCTGTCTAACCTCTCTGTGATTTAAAGGTAAAGGGTATGTGGTTGTCATGGTGGAAAACAACTAGTGCCTCTTGCTTATTGGAGAACAGCCTTCAACCATAGGAATTCTGGGAGAAAATGATTGCATTATTTAACATTTTAACAACGTGGCATACAAATTTAAGCTTTCTTGGCCTTATCAAATTAACGTAGATAGGTTTTGTACCACATTGCCAATAGCTGTGAATTTTTCTTTTAGATTTGTTATATTATTCAACTTTTGTCTCCCAATTCCAATGTGAAAATGGTCACCCAGAATTTCTATACTGCAAATGCGAGAAGGATTTGCATGTTGTAGTGTGTGCTTGCAGTTATCTGAAGAGTACAAGTACAGCTATTGCTAATACATAGGCACTTAAAATGTTATATCTTTGTGGTTAGCTCTGAAAGCACCAGGTATAATGTACTTTCACTGTAGTCATGCATGGTCCAGGCACTTGTATGTGGTCCAAAAATAAGATGTAATATGGCTGTTAGAATTTAAACAAAATTAAACCAAAGTTAGGATATGTAACAAACGCTTCCAGATGATGATGGTGGTTAAAGGTTCAGTAATCAGTGTGGGGGGCATGTCTGGTTAGATAAATGTACACATAAACAAAAAGGATGATCTAAATAAGCTGAAATGACTTATGTTCACAATATTTCACTTGTTTTGAAATAGTTTTTACTAGATTCAATCTATTTAATAAATAGGCCCATAGTGGTTTTACTTCTCAGCATGTGGTTGCATTCTCACCTCACAACAAGTAAATATTTGGCTTTCCGAGGACTACCAAATCTAAACCAGGTTTACACAGGACTTTTCAGGTCTAAAATAGAGCTAAACCAGGTGTGGGAATGCGAATACACATTTCAGTGCTAATTCTACCAAAATGTGGAATAAATAATATTTGAACTGCAGGCTAATCTGTTTACCTACTGAGCTTGCATAATATTGTGGTATATGGTGCAAACCGCTGTCCTAACACATGCAATAAAGGCTGAGCCGCCGACTCTCTCCTCCTCACTAAGAAGCGATGTGTGTCTGGGGAGCTACACTGGGATTGCACCAGGTTGCACCAGCAGAATTAAAGAAGGGGTCAAAAGAAGAGGACAAATTTCCTTTTCAATAATTTTGTTCAAGCTCCACAGGCAACACTGTCTGAAATGAAATAACAATAAAAGGACCAGACAGAATCACGTATTCACGCATACAAATAAACAAATCCATTTGTCAAAACAATTTCAAAACAAGTTAAGCATTCAGAATCGAAGTCATTTTAACTCATGCTTTCCTTTTTTACAGTGCATATTCTAATGTGTCCTTTCTTCTGTCCTTTTCCCCTGTTTATGCACCTCTCCCTCCATCCCCCTCTCTCTCCCCCTCTTTCTTTCTCCTCTTTCTTCTCCGTCCTCACTTACAGGTGACTTTTTGGAGACCGTTTTGGAGAAAGAGGAGGAGGAATCCCAGGGTTCATTGTGCTTTCCGACTGCCTGCTACCTTTAGAGCATTTTAGGAGTGCGGCCTCATTGTCACTGAGCAGCAGAAGCTAGCAGCACTCGCCCCATGCTCAAGCCATCGGTGAACGGACCAATAGAAACAAATGTACATACGGTGCACAAACACAACTACTTGCTAACATAAATGCAAGACGCGTACTCAAATACTTACCTTCTGCCTGAAGTTTGACCATAAGAGTGGAATTTGCCAAGTTATAAAATGGTTTGTAAAAAAAAAAACTACTGCTGTATCACTCCAAAACACTTGTCTATACTATGTCTATTACAGGACAAATATAGAGGGACTGATGTTTCATAGTTAAAAATGAAGAAAATACAAAAAATGCAACTACAAGTGTAGGTTAGAAAGACTCGGGAGAGGAGAGCTGTACATATTTTAGTTTACAAAGAGCCGCATTTAAAATCAACACTAGAAAAATGCAAAAATAATACGACTTTAGATAAACACTGAACAGACACTTCATTATTATTATTATTATTATTATTATTATTATTATTATTATTATTATTAGTGATACTTTGCAGCTGATCGTCTATCATCAACATTCCCTGGGGTTGTGATGCTAACTGAAGGCACTGCTCTGTTTGAGGCTTGTTAGACTTTAATCTGTGCTTTATTTTAATGCAATCAGACCAGAAAGAGCTGACAGAGTTGGAACTACAACTTGTGAACTGATTTTTGCCGTCAAACAAGTATTTCTCAAATAATATTACAGTTATAGTTAGTTACTCTCACGTTTTTGTTGAAAATTAAACACCTAAATAGGATCATGAACGCTCGTATTGACCACAGGCTCCTGGAAATGTGCTGTTTAAATACATTTTGTTTTCTTCTTGAATCTTCAGATGCTCTTAAAACTTAAAAATGGCTGTCTTTGCTAATGTGTGAATTGTTGTAATTGGTGAACATTCCTCCAACGCACACACACGTGGGACACCCCCAGCATGATGACACTGCAAAGTATCAATTATTATTATTATTACAAGTCAAGACAAATCGCCATTATCCTCATAAAAGGATATTACATTCCGAATTGTAAAGTAAAAAATCACTAACCTATTTTAAATTTCTACTTAGATTTTAGGTGAAATGTGGGGGTGGGGGGGTCGCACTTTTATTCGGGAGCTTTTAATATTTGAACTATTTTTATTTATTTACTAATTTATGAATTATTTTGTTTATCGGGAGGAGGGGTTTTGAACAGGCTGCAATATTTTGATTTTAGAATTTTATAGTGCAAACATTTTTGAGAGCCTGTTTCTGTCAGACTCTTGCCATTGAGGAATTATAATGTATGTATTAATTATTACAATTATATTTATTTCTAATTTATTGAATCCTGTTTTTGATCCACTCTGTTTTTAAGTTAAAATAAAAAGTATCATGCTAAAAGTTGTCATCTTTATTTACGTGCTGTAACCGTGCTACCTGTAGTGTCCAGAAGGTGGCGCCACTTCCACTGACTTGATGAGCTTATCTGTTAAATTCATTTATGGGAGTAGGCCACATTAGGCCATTATCTATAAACATTTCCATTCGTCTTATCGCTGGAAGTAACTCTCCAATATTTCTCTTTTATTTTGTGACACCTCAAATTGGGTCTTTTCAATCATATATTAAGAAGAAATTACGTTATTTTTTCTGAACTATTAACATTGTGTGAGTGTTGTATTCATTGAATTAATAAAAAGGAAACATTTTAAGTTATAGTTACAGCCAAAAAGTAGGCTACACAGAAAAAACAAAGAATAAAGTGAACAAAAATTGCTTATTAAGACGAAGAATATTATAAGTACCCAGGGGTTTCCAACTGAGCTAATTCAGGTCACTATTCATAGTGTTTTGCCACCAGTAGCTCTCCATCTCCTTCCACCTCCAAAGAATTTCTGAATTATAACTAAACTAAAATTAACTAAAATTTGATGAATAGAATAACTGGTTAAAACTGTAAAATGCATCAGTTTCCTTACTTTCTGCACTAATGAATGGATAACACTGCAAAAAACTAAATCTAGTCAAGTTCAGATGACTTGAATTAAGAAAGTTTTATCATGATTTGAGTAAATTTCACTTTTTGTACATAAAATATGAAAATACATGTTGCTACACTTAAAATAAGAAACAACTGATTAATTGAGTGTTGCTTGAATTAAGAAAAACACACTATAATTTTACTTGTCAAGTTGAATCTACTCAAAAAAGTAAAATGTTCTTCATTTACGTCATTTTAACTTAGCTAAATATTGTTTTTTTCCATGTTTTATAGGGATGTAACAATAACCAAAATATCGTGATATCGTATCATCTTATCGTCTCACAATAATATCATGTGCTGTCACAATATATCGAATCACAACTTAATTTGCTTAAATGCATGCTTTTATAGTAGCAACAGCTTATAAACATTTGGGGACTACATTTCCCATGATTCATTTCAGCGCAGACAACATGAAGAAATATGTTTTTTACTTGAATTCTTGGGATTATGACAGAAATAACTCGCACCAAGATCTTGTCAAAGTATTTTAAAAGCAAAAAAGTGTCCTATCTTCAATTATATCAGCCTTTTCAAAATATCACAATAAATATCGTACTGTGAGATGCATATTGCGATAATGTCGTACCGTGAGATTTGGATATCGTTACATCCCTAACGTTTTATATACCATATTTCTAACTGTTTCTATCTTAGGTTATGGCTTTTATAATTACAAAATTTCCTGCGATCAATAAAATGAGTAGGTTTCTGGCATTTTAGTTTACTATTTGTTATGTTTTATTACGCACAAAATAGCGAGCATAACAGCATTAGCATTAAAACAGGCTACAGTCGTGACCAGTTTTCAATAGGCCAGACTCTTACCACATTTTTTGCCTTATGGTCCCTTAATAATTAATGTTTATTTTAATAATTTAGATCTGGGAGGGTGTTTGTTAAGTTAAAAGGCCAACACCACTTATCATTGTAGCTGTAACCTAGATTGTTGCTGTTTTTGTGTCACACTCACGTGTTTTTTCACGAGTTCAAAGGTCACATGCGCGCCTCCCCGTGGTGCGATTGTCATGAAAAAAGACTTAAGTTGATTGACTGTAAAATCAGGGTGACCAGATGTCCCTGTTTACCCGGGACAGTCCCAGTTTAGAGCCCAGTGTCCCATGTCCCAGCAGATTTATCCGAAACCATTCATTTGTCCCAGTTTTATACAAGAAATGTCCCAGTTGTCCATGATTTTGACCAATTTCACACCCATCAAGAGTAAAGAGAGTAATATTATCATTTGTTTAGCTAAAATAGAGAAAACTGTGCTATAAGGCGAAAAAATGCACCAAACAAAAGTCTAAAATGACCCACAAGTCCAAGTTTTGAGCCTTGTGTACCATGTCCCAGCAGATTTATCAAAAAACATTCATTTGTCCCAGTTTTATACAAGAAATATCCCTGATTTGGACCAATTTCACACCCACTAAGAGTAAAAAGAGGATAATAGTATCATTTGTTTAGCTAAAATAGAGAAAACTGTGCTATAAGGCAAAATAATGCACCAACAAAAGTCTAAAATGACCCACAAGTCCCAGTTTTGAGCCTTGTGTCACATGTCCCTGCAAATTTATCAAAAAACATTCATTTGTCCCAGTTTTATACAAGAAACATCCCAGTTATCTCTGATTTTGACCAATTTGACACTTACACAAGAGTAAATAGAGGATTATATTATCATTTGTTTAGCTGAAATAGAGAAAACTGTGATACAAAGCGAAAAAATGCACAAACAAAAGTCTAAAATGACCCACAAGTCCCAGTTTTGAGCCCTGTGTCCCATGTCCCAGCAGATTTATCCAAAACCATTCATTTGTCCCACTTTTATACAAGAAATGTCCCAGTTGTCCCTGATTTTTGACCAATTTCACACCCACACAAGAGTAAAAAGAGGATTATGTTATCATTTGTTTAGCTAAAATATAGAAAAATTAGCTTGGAAATGACTATAACTTGAAAAAAATGCACCAACAAAAGTCTAAAATGACCCTCAAGTGATTTAAGAATGGACAATGTTATGCTGTTTTCACAATATTATCTAAACCAACATCCAAAACCCGGGTGTGTCCCAGTTTTTAATTGTAAAAATCTGGTCACCCTATGCAAAATGTAAACTGTAAATTGGAAAGTAAAGAAATAAGAGCCCCCTGCGTTTGAACTCGTTGGCCCATTGTCGCCTATAGAAAAACGCATAGGGAATTTGGCACGAGTTCGGCACAGATATTTGGCTTGTGAACATATGCTCCAGCAGGAGTCTGTGACCCATTAGCCCACCTCACTTTTGGAGGGAGAGGAATGGGGGAGAGGAGGAGGAGGAGGAGGAGGAGGAGGAGGAGGAGGAGGAGGAGGAGGAGGAGGAGGAGGAGGAAGGGGAGTTTGACTTTTCTCCGAGCGGAAACAAAACGCGGATGTGTGTATCAGCGGGTATTTATCACAATGTGGGGAGTAAAATTTATACTCTTTCAGTTCTTGGGGAGCTGTCTCTATTGGGTCAAATATCAGGGACCCTTTATTAGAGTGACCAGACGTGCCTATTTAGCTCCAGTTTTGAGCCCTGTGTCCCCTGTCCCATCAGATTTATACAAAACTATTAATTTGTCCCAGTTTTACACGACAATTGTCCCATGTGTCTCTATTTTTTGACCAATTTGATCTGAACTAGGACTAAACTAAGATTAAACCAGGACTACATCAGGTCTAAACCAGGACTAAAACATGACTATCACAATTTTTGACTCATCTGATCTTCACCAACAGAAAAGAGGAGGATAAATTGTCATTTGTTTAGCCGAAATATAGAACTAAACTAGGACTAAATTGATTAAACCCGGACTACATCAGGTCTAAACCAGGACTAAAACAGGACTATCACAATTTATGACTAATCTGATCCGTGGCAATAGTTAACAGGAGCATAAATTGTCATTTGTTTTGCCAAAATACAGAATTAAACCTGGATTAAACTAAGATTAAACAGGAATACACCGGGTCTAAAACAGGACTGTGACAATTTTTGAATAATCTGATCTTCGCCATCAGAAAAAAGAAGCATAAATTGTCATTGCCAAAATACAGAATTAAACCCGGACTAAACTAAGACTAAACCCAGACTAGATCAGGTCTAAAACAGGATTAAAACAGGACTATCACAGTTTTTGACAAATCTGATCTGTGCCAACAGTTAATTGGAGCATAAATTGTCATTTGTTTTGCCAAATATAGAACTAAACCAGGACTAAACTGATTAAACCCAGATTACATCAGGTCTAAACCAGGACTATCACAATTTTTGACTAATCTGATCTTCGCCAACAGAAAAGAGGAGCATAAATTGTCATTCATTGCCAAAATACAGAACTAAACCAGGACTAAACTAAGATTAAACCAGGAATACATCAGGTTTAAACCAGGACTAAAACAGGACAATCACAATTTTTGACCAATCTGATCTTCGCCAACAGAAAGAGGAGCATAAATTGCCATTTGTTTAGACCAAATACAGAACTAAACAGGACTAAACTAAGATTAAACCAGGACTACCCCAGTTCTAAAACAGTACTATGACAGCTTTTGACTAATCCGATCTTTGCCAACAGAAAAGGGGTGCATAAATTGTCATTTGTTTGGCCAAAATACAGAAAACTGTGTTTGCAAATGACCATAAAGCCAAAAAAGACAGCTACAGAAGTGTCTCAGATTATGTTACTCAAAGTTTTCACAATTTTATTTAAGACAACATCCCAACTTGGGTGTGTCCCAGTTTAGAAATGTGTAAATCTGACCACCCTGCCCTTTATTATTAGATCAACAACATCATTTAAAGTTCAGATCAGGTTTAAACAGGTTAAGGTTTAGGGCCAGTAGTGACTATGGTTAAGGTTAGGACCTGTCTCCAGGGAACGTGTCCAAAGTTAATCTAATAACGTCCCCAAGAAGCATTGAACGTCAGCATGTATGTGTGTGGGCTATTTATATCACTGTGAGCACTAAAATCGGTATGCTCTTAATTCATGGGGACCTGTCTCGTTTATGAGGACAGAAATCTGCCCTCCATTACGTAAATTCTTTATTATTAAGTTAACAATGTGATTTAAAGTTCAGATATGGGTTCAATTAGGTTAATGTCGAGCACGTAGCCTAGAGGCCCAACTATCAGTCTCCAGGAATCATGAGTGAAATGAAAAGTGAAAGTGAAAAGTGAATGTCTGGAGACTAAATTCTGTACACACACTCCTTTTTCCTGTCTCTCATATGGGAAAAAAATCAGGCATCTATGAAATAGTTTATGGTTTAGGTCAGGGGTCTCCAACCTGTAGCTCAGGAACTACCAGCAGCTCTCCACCCCTTTCAAGTAGCTTCTGAATTACAATTAAAGTCCTGTTACCATTGTACATGTATCATTTTGATGCTTAACCTAGTACACTATTAAATGGAAAATGGTTTATGTTTTATAGCCATTTATCTTAAAGTGACCTAAGATAGATGTCCCTATTTACTCAGGACAGTCCCAGTTTTGAGCCCTGTGTCCCCTGTCCCAGCAGATTTATCCAAAACCAGTGATTTGTCCCTGTTTTATACAAGAAACGTCCCAGATGTCCCTATTTTTGACCAATGTGACACCTGACAACAGTAAAAAGAGGCATACATTGTCATCTGTTTAGGTAAAATACAGAAAATCTGCTTTAAAATGATCAAACACAAAGAAAATGTGACTATTCTGACTCACGAGTTTGTCATGAATGGGCAAGAATGCAGAACAATTTCCCTTAATTACACACTCGTTTCATAATTTTATTATTACCAGCCAACCCAAACCAGGGATGTCCCAGTTTTTTATTTTTGAAATCTGGCTCTTGCACATGCTTAGTTCTTCGTGACTGCTAAAACTCGTAGCTTTCTGGCATTTTCTTTTTGTAAAGGTGGCTCACTGGAGGAAAAAAGGAGGGTGGGAGACCTCTAGTTTAGGTTATGATAAGGCGAATAGTAGGTCTAACTATGGTTGAGGTTTGGATCAGTCTCCAGGAAATGAGTCAATGTCCTCGAGAAGCGTGTAAACCCAACATGTGTGTCTGTGTGCTCCCTCATGTGCTCGCGCGTCATTTTCTGTCCCTCCCTCTCCGTTATCCCTCACTCCTCCCCTCCCTCCCTCCCTCCTCCCCTCTGTCTGTCTGCTGCTCCACGGTCCGCTCTCCTGCCCGGCCCGACCTCTGCTGCCTCTGCCCGGCCACACACCCAGACGGACCCTGCTAACTCCGGGACGCGACACGAGGCCAAAGAATCCACCGCCCGGAGACGCCAAACCTCAGCGGGACACCGGAGTGCGCGGACCTGCCTCTATCACCCCCACTGTGCCGCCGCGAGAGGCTTCTGCTTGTTGTTTCCACCGCAATAATCACCCAAAGAAGAGGGAAAACATGTCGCACTCAATGGAAAGATGTAAAAAGCAGCGTGGATACTAAACTTGAGTAGACTTCGCCCCTCTGCGCACTGGCGGAGTAGCGGTCCGTTAGATTTTGTGACTACAGCCGTCGCCGAGAGCGTGTGGATTCAGGAAAAGTAGAAAACATACAGCAAACGTGACACTACGGACAGGAACTCAAAGACAAGTAAGTACAATTTCACTTTCATGTGGATAACAAGTCTGTATCCGTTTAAATGTGCGTTAGTGGTGGGCGCACACTGCATCCTGTCTGCGCACGGACGTCATTACGCACACGTAGGAATTGCTTAATGAAAAAACAGCGAGGCACTTTGGTCTTTTTAAATTTCAAAACTAAAAGGACAGGACTTTAAACCAGCATTTTGCTCAAGTAAAGGTTGCAAACTACAAATCTTACACCGGCTTTAACCTGCGAATTGGCACCCGGATCACAAAACTATCGCTTAAGTGTGACAACAACACCTGGCAGTAGTGAATAACATTATCAGACGATTTGCAAATCATTCTATAACTATTATTGTGTTGATATAGTAGTATAATTTACAGCCTCAACGACTCAAAGTTAACAAACACCCATTTCATTTTAATAGTGAAAGTTTTAAGTCACCACCACTGAAGATAGGACAGCAGTAAACAAGATCATTTATTTCGTCTACGTTAGGCTACTACTGCCCACTGGTAAACAGATCATATTCCACAACATTATACTTCACTCTTATCTCATACCGTTTATTTTATTTGGCGTGTTTTATTGCAAGAGTTTCCTGTGTCTTATAGTAATCCAGTTGTTTTGAGTAATGGTTCTGTGTATGTCTTTGTCCAAGTGGGTTTAAAGGCTCTGTTTATGGCATCCTTCTTAATAGCATGAAGAAGTAGACTCCCAAGGGCCCGTGTAATTGCCCCAAGTATAAACTACCCTCTCGAAAGTGGGCATTTAATCATTACTGAAGAGGCTACATGACAATCACACCATCTTCTAAACCAGTGATCGCTGATTGAAAGTTCACATCAATAATTCATCAAGGCTACAGCTGAGTGGTTCCTTAGACAATGGATCTCCCTATTTCGAGGCCGTATCTGTATCTGCTTATCTGCTTTTAGAGGTAGAACTGGATAACACTGATGAGCACTGTTCGTTTGATGGGTAAAGATAGCTGCGAGCTGTCAGAGCATGCGTTGAAAGAATGCCTAAAATGTGTGAGATTCGAGTGAGTCACCATCAGGATGCTAAATGGCCACGGCGTGACCTGAGTTACGGCTAATGGGCCAAGTGTAGAAAGTATGCCACTGTGTAGAACTCCCTCCACCGCAGTGTATGTGTGTCTGTGTGTTTACGCTGATTTTGAAGTTTGAAATTGATCTTATATCTTTTATGATTAATGTCAGAATGCAAATTATTCTGTTACACTAAAACCCATATTGTACCGTATCTACTAGTGGGTAAAATTGGTTCCTGTCCCAGCTACGGCCCGTGAATATAGAGCTTTTCCCCCCATGTTATGGATTGATTTATGATTAAATGTTCAACTTTTTCAATCTTAAAGGTGTACTAGGTAATTTTTCTTGTGGGGTGCTACCTGATTGTCTCCGGGGAGATGTTTTGAAAAATGTGCATTCTCATTGTGAGTGGGGTCACCTTACCACAGATCAGACCTGTAATTTGGCCTGGTAGCATATTCTGTTTGACTCCCTGGAGAAAAAAAAGTTCTTACTGTGGGGACATTCGAGGCCAAGCAATAACATTCAACCCTCCATCAGAAATGTTTGAATAGTGTAACTTTATTAATTATTGCTCGTGTCATACTAAATCTAAACATAATAACACAGTAACCTCTTACACAGTTCTTCAAAGTGGTCTAAGGTTTCCTGGTTCAGTTCCAGCTCATTGAATCACTGAATATTGTTGCGTCACTGGACATGTCATTCACCTTTTCCCTATTGATGCTTTGTAGTAATCACACTGGGGAGTGTTCTACATGTACATGGGTCACGATACGATACGTATCTCGATAGTCGATACAGTGAACTTTCGGTTTGATGTGATACGGTTCAGTAAAAAATTATATCTATATGATGGCTGTGATACTAAATGTTTTTGTTAAACCATTACTTATGCAAAGTGAATATGAAACGCACTTTTTATAATCAAAACAGTGAAAATATTAAATGTGTCGCATAAATGAGTTTCCTTCCTGTAGCGCTGTAACAAAATAATTTAATAAAATATACCAAAAAATTACTCTTGGTGATATCGATGTAGCAGCCCCTAATATTGATACTGTATCATCACATTAAATGATACGATATATCAATATTTCGATATTTTTGCAGACCCCCAGACACAATGCACATATTATTTTTAAAAATAATAATAATATAGCCTGAAAATTCGCGAAAAATACTAAATTGGTTTAATCAGCATATTTTCAGGAGTCTGTGATCAATACGAGCGTTCATGGTCCAGTTTAGGAGTTCGATTTTCAACAAAAATGATGAGTGTGACCAACTGAAAAACTCCCAGTTTGTGACTGTAATTTTATGTGTGAAAGATTTATTTAAGTGCACAGATCATCCCACCTGTTTCTAACAGAGCAGTGCTTTCAGTTAGCTTCACACAGGTTTAATGCTAAATATTTGAAAAATGCAAAAAAAAAAACAAAAAAAAAACAACTTGTGTTAGATTAGAAGAGTGGGGATGGGATTAAATAAATTTTCTTCTTCCCACTCCTTTATGGGCAAATTTGTTGTTATGGTTATTTTCATTTCTATTATGATTTCACTTATGTTATATGTTCCATTTTATGAGAATGTAAATCTTTACTACTTATTTCTTACTCTCCAAGAAATGTTGATGACGTCAGCTCCAAAGTATCAATAGTATGAACTTGTTGTGAGGGAAACTGAAAGCTAATATTATAAAATTGTTGGTAGTTCTATGTTGTCATTTTGTAAAGTATTTATAGCCTACTAATAATACCACACACTAAACTAAATTACCACACACTTGACTGTAAAGGTGACAATGGTCAGGGTGACTCTGATAAGATATAGCTAATAGCATCACATTTTTATCTCGCTGCAGCGAACAGAAGCTCAGAGTTTATATATGAAGTGAACTACTATCAGGGTCGGAGAGTAATTAACCCATTTAACAAGCGTTGACAAGGCGGTGTCCTAACAGCTGTCATAAACACACAGAGATCAGGCCCAGTTTTGAGCGTGTGTGAGGACTGTGTAAGTCTGATTCATCTGTCTGTCACTGGGCCTAATATAGATGGATACTAGTGAATACACAGGGACATATGGTTAGTGTGACTCATGTGGCGGCAAGGCAAACTTATTTGTATAGTACCATTTGTACACAAAGTAATTCAAAGTAGACATAGAGTAGGACTACAGAGTAAGAAGTCAAATTAACATTAAAGGGCTCGTACTTCACTATTTTCTGATCTATGTTCTAATGTTGTTTCCTCATCAAAACCAGATCTGGAGATGTGTTTTGTTTCATTCACACGTTTAACACACAAACCCTGCATATCGAATGTCCCCCTGGCTTGAAAGTCCCAGCTCCAATGTCCCATTCTCTTGGCTTGAACGTCCCCCTTCTTGCTTCGGGAGCCCCCTTCTCTTGGTTGGCCCTTGGGTAACTGCTGTGCCCGGGAGAGGGGGGATGTTCTCCCCTACCTTTAGTTGGCTGCATCATGCACTGTGATGTATTAAATTAGAAAATAATCTTTTATATCATAATAAAATGAAATGTAAATGTCGTGAGATCAAATGTCAAGCCTTGTTTATGTCATTTTACCGATCTCCCGAAGCAGCACACATTTTTTCAGTATGTAATATCAATATAATCCTCATTTTCTCGTAGAAGTTTACTGTGAAATTGCATTTTAAATAATTTTTTCTTGTTCCCCCATGTCCTGTAGCTTCTGTAACTGTTGACTTGGGAAGAAAAGCTACAGATTTTGTTAAAAAATCATTCAGAATCACTTTTAGGAAGGTCTTAACTGTACGTTTTTCATTGAAGTATGTAAGATAAAATCCTGAAATAGTTCCGGCACAAACTTGAAACCACAAATAGTTTTTTTGTGTATGTGTATTTGTGTTGAGAGTTCTTCTCTCAAACAGAAGACATTGTTCCACCTTGTGATGTCATGTGGTAATACAGGAAGAGCTCCACTGTTTTCTTAATCTCCATATATCTTCACTTGAATAAATTGGAAAATTTCATCTTTGGGATTAACATCTCGCCTTAACTAAAGGTAAAAGGAGCTCTTAACTTGAAAACTACAGAGCATTTAGAGCTTTGGAGATGTAGACAGACTTATAATTAAAGGATCATTCACTCAAACATGTGTGAATTAAACAAACCACAACTCCAGGTATGTTTTTGATGAGGTAACAATGTTTTAACATGACTTAAAGCTCACAACAGTAATTTTTGCGTAATGTAGGACCTTTAAACATCGTCAGAGTAGAGGCTTATCTCATATATCGCGTGCATTTGTTGTCATTAAGAACATCACACTCACAAATACAGTTACCCACTCACTGCTCTCCAAATTACTAACTTAAAATTACATGAATTCAAAATAATATCTTGTTTGGGGTAGTTTTGATGTAGTTTATTTCTAAATTCTTACTCTTAAAGTATGTGTCAGTGGAATAGGCTTAATTGGACTTATTAAAGCTGATTGTGAAGCTGTGCGAAAGGGGCAAGCAGGTCTTTAAAATGAGCTCTCACAAATCCTTTGGCACATCGTGAGTGCTTAGATTTTGGGGCACATGCAAAGCTTTAGAACAGTTTTTTTCAGAGGGAAGAGAAGAAGCAGAGCCAACAGCACACAATGGCAATCAGCTCTTATCCCAAAACGTTCCACAGCGATGTACGGTCTTCTTTCTTATGAGTTTATGATCAATAAAATGTTTTACAATTACAGTAGATGCACACAGCACAAACGTTTACAATATACTTTATGGAGAGAACATTGATTTATTGATTTACAGGAGAAAGTTTTGGTAATGTTCCAAAATGCCTTTAAGGTGTACTGTAGTGTTTCTGGTGTCGACTAGCTGCTTGTCTCCATGACGACTAGGGATGTGCAAAAATATAGAAATATCGATATATCGTATTGTTTAATGTAATGATATAGTGTCAGTATC